ACACTAAATCTCTCATTGGTATTTAAAGAAAAAAATGACTAAGCAACTACCTAGTATCCCTCATTTAGAGGGACCCCAAGTGCTTTCAGGTCAGAGCTGATGACAACGTGCTGCAAACAAATTGTGGCAGATGTCATCAGAACAAAACCAGAATAAAGAAGTGAATAATCCACATCCTTCAAATACCCAAAAGTTTGGGTTCGTGTACTGGAGCCCACGGTTAAAGCATGCCCAGGCGCCTTTCCAGGAGTGCGGTCCAGAAGTGACCTTATCTGGAGGGACTTGGGGTCAGAAGGGAGTGGGGAGGCAAAGAACCTGGCTGCTGGCAGTGGGAATTGGAAAGGGCTCCTTTAGATGGACAGAGGGTGCTCAGTCACGGCCACTGTTTCGCTCCCTTGACCTTGTCACACAGATAGAGATAACCTTGAGGATTTTTCTGTGAAGAATTGGGTTTCATTATCTTTATTCGGTCCAAGTGTTCGAATACTTGGTGGTTTCCTATTGTCTAGCTAATTAAACATGGGACGGCTCATCTTAAATGCTGGTCTCAAGTTCACTGCTTGTCATGTTTGAGGTCTCATTCAGGCTACCCTTCCTCAGTCACCCTCTCTATATGGAGGATGGAAGGTAGTCTGTTTCTGAGGTCTGCCACGGGATTGAAATCGTAGAATCGTTTAAGTTGGAAAAGACCTTTAAGATCATCGAGTCCAACTGTTAACCTAACACTGCCAAGGCCACCCCTAAACCATGTCCCTAACTCTCTGGGTCCGGTCACCCAGCCAGTTTTTTACCCAGCAAAGTGTGTGCCTGTCCAGGCCACGAGCAACCAATTTCTCCAGGAGAATGCTGTGGGAAAGGGTGTCAAAGGCTTTACTAAAGTCCAGGTAGACACCATCCACAGCCTTTCCCTCATCCATTAAGCGAGTCACCTTGTCACAGAAGGAGATCAGGTTGGTCAAGCGGGACCTGAGTTAGTCAAGCAGGAGCTGAATGACTTCCCTTTGCAAAATAGGAGATGGACAGACTAAGAAAACAAAATGTTGGTTTTGTAAAGAGGAAAATGTGAGGCAAAAGCCCCAAATCGACTGGGATTTCTTGGTAGACACTGCCTCAGAAATTAATTTTAAACTTCTTTTAAAGGAAACATGGAAAGATAATACCCGGGGACAATTAGGTTACTTCTGTGGCCATAAACTGGAGACTGCAGATACAGTTAATGGGTGGATGGATTCTTGGAAAGCAAGTTCAGTTGAAGCATGCGACTTCTGGAACTACGCCGGAGGACTGAGTTGTTTACCCTAAAGATAGCGGCTCCAGCATTACTTGACAGGCTTAACTTCTGTGGGTGGTGAGGGTTGTACATAAAAATTTAAAATTCAGGTTGTTGGAGAGCAAATGGTGGATGTTCTGGTGCCTGAGAGAGGGAAGCTAAGCTGTCTTAAATCACTCACACATTCATGTGGGAGAATCCTCCAGTGCTGAGAAGGACTCACAAGGGTTTCTTTCGTTTCTTGCTGGAGTGAGCAGTGGTTTTGGGGTCAGAGAGGGCTGGGTGCGCGAGAGAGTGACTCAGTCCTTGAATCCATGAATGCAGCTGCTCCTGGACAGGCGCCCACCTGATCCTGACTGTCCGCTGATAGGGACATACGCGTTACCGGCTGCTTTTTTGCTAAAGCAGTCAATAGCTAATGGTGCAATTGGGTAACTGCTATTTAGACAGCACCGGGTCTCGCAGTTCATTCTCTCCTGAGGCAAACCGCAGCAATTCTTGGATTAACTCGCCTAGGCCGATTGAGAAAGACAGCTCACTTACCAGCTACACCGTTCCCATACGACAGGATGGTAATTTCCCTAATTGCAAGGTTAAAACACCCTGCTCGCCGTGAGAGTTGAGATCCCTTGGCTGATTTTGTGGCCCCTAGAAAACAACAGCCAGGATGTGGTGAGCGGCCGGTCTTCCCGGCTGTGAACTGCGACAGAGGCTGTGGCCGCTTGGCAGCGGCCCAGCAGCATTTCCTCCTGCAGAGGAAACCCTCGGGAAGCAAAGGGCCTCCCTGCCGCTCCTTCCCACGCGCGGTACGAGATCAGGAAAACCGCAGCACCGTGCTGGCTCTCTGGAAGTAGACGTTGGAGAAGCAGGTGTCTTGGCCTGCCTTTACCCGCCGTTTTGTGTGCCCAGTCGGTTTCAACTATAAAACAATTCGTTTCTTTTTCTCAACAGCCGCAGGAAGCAGTCCGTTCTGAACGCGACGGGAAAGAACAAGCGCTTAGCGGCTCAGGAGGAGACCTCGCTGAAAAGACAAACGGCGACTACCCCCAAACAAAGGCAGAAACAAACTGTGCTGCAGCTGGCACGGTTGAAGAAGAACGTGCTGCAGAAACCAACAAAACTACCACAACTTTTGCAACAGCCGAAACAACAGAAGTAGGCTGCAGTTCGCACCATCGTTTGCAGCATGAACCTTCTGAGACCAGGGCAGCGATTCCTGGTGAAGCTAGGAGAAAGGAACCAGATTTAGAAAGCGACGTTAGGGTAGGAGAAACGGCCGTGCCCGCAGACTCTGAGAACCGAGCGGGCCTTCTGCCAGAGGGGCAGCCGAAAGTGGCAGGGGAGGAAGCGGCTGCGCCCGCAGGGTCGGCCCAGGGGAACCAGCGCAGCCGGGGTGGCAGAGCTGCCTCCCCGCTCCTCCAGGAGGTGAACACGCAGGACGGGAGCGTGCAGATCGTTAGGGATCACGTAACGCACTGCCCGGTCGTGTTTCAGAATTCTTTGCTGTATGAATTGGACTAGTTTTAATTGTTTTTGGATTTCCTTCTGTTGTTTGATGCTTACTGCGACTTCCACGCGCCGGTTTATGACTTCAGGGCCAGGAGTAGGACGCGGGTTCCTACTGGAACTGGTTTGTTTACATGTCAGCTTAGAATACATACGTTGTTAATAATTTTTGAAGTTGACAGGTCTGAGTTTTCTCATCACGTGTATGGGCTCAAATGGTTTTACTCACAGGAAAGATGCAGTTGAAGGTGAAGCTGAGCTCGTGGAGGAAAATGCATCTTTATTGTTTACAGAACTTCCCTAGTCTCTCGCTACGTTACCGGGAGTATTTGTGTATAGCCTTTTCCTGATGGCTCCCCCGGGAATCGCTGTGTTTAGTCCACCTAGAAATGAGCAGTATTCATCATTTTGGAAACCTTTCATTTTGTGATAACTGCAGGATTAGGCTTGCACTGATTTTTTAGCAATCAAATTTCTAATTACACGGAGGACTTCTAATTAGTCTCCTAGAAATAATCAACATTTATACCATGTATTCCAGCCTGGTACATTACTTCAGAACACAGCACCCAAACACACCCCAGTCTGTCAACTGAACAAATTCCATGGCAGAATAAAAACATCCTCTCTTCTTGCACGTCTGCTACTAAGTATTTACAATTTGTAAAATGGATTCGCTTCATCCCGATGAGATTTACCTTTCAAAAAGTTCCCCAGGAGCTGCGGCGTGCTGCTTGCTGCTTCATCTCTCTAAGGTGCGATAGCTCAAAGAACTTGCCTCATCACAACAAACTTTCAGTTCCTTTTCTCACGGCTTCTGAAATAACTTCTGTTTTCTTTTGAGCTCTACCAGACACGAATGTGCTTTAGTTGACTTCGACGCCTTTCGCAGCCGCTCTGGAGTCACTCCTGCATTTCTCCGTCGAAGGCGGGTGCTTGCCGTGGGGGTATGTGGCGAAAGCTTTACTGGTGTAAGGCCAGTGGAAGCCACAGCTGCCACCAGCCTCTGCCCTCCACGCCCACCCCTGCGGCACCGGCCCAGCTGAAGGCGGGTTGGGGTTCGGGTTTCCTGGGTGAAGTTTAACTCCGCTCCGTCAGGCTCTCGCACCGCTCCTTGTGGGAGGTGTCGAAGGGCAGAGGCACAAAGCGCGGCTCTTTCAGCGTCAGCTCTGACTTGCTGAAAACGGAGCAAGTACCAAAGCTGGTACAAAATCGTGGCAGTTCAATTACCCCTGGGGGGAAAAAAAAAAAAAAAGAGCATCTTCTCCCTGTCAGAACAACCACCTGCGTACCGCGTACAGCGTTTCGCAAAACTCTGCTCTCTCCCATATGAACACTTAACCCGTATATTCACAACCCGTAAAGTAGGCGACAAACGTTGGCAAAAGGAAAGCCTCGCTGTGTGCCCGTCCAGTCATAAGCAGCTGTTGTTACCAGCGTCCTGAGAGCACAACCCCATTTTCTCTAATTAAAAAAAAAAAAAAAGTTTTTCCAAATCTCGCTGCATAAAATCCACCTCTAAATACCACGTCTGCCACCTTAGCGTTGAATTTTCATTCTCTAACATGCCTCTCCTACAAACAGCTGCCGCTACCCGTTCTGCTTCGAAGCGGAGTGCCGGTAAAGCAGCCGTAGCGCCCGCCTGAAAACAGGCGAGGAAGCGCTGGACGTTAACGGGCGGCTCGGCTCTCTCCCCGCGTGGCTTTCAGTTCCCGTGCCGCGTGTTTCCATTACACAGCGGTATTTTTTTCCTGGTCGCTTTGCACAGCTGACCGATTTGAAAGCGAACTTTTTTTTTTTTTTTGTGAGCCGAACAAAAGAGGTGTCGTGCCACGCATTGTTACTCTATTCTGTCTCAATTAGAGAGTATCATTAAAAATGTAATGAAGTTAAATGCACACTACTAGAAGGGGTGATGGCATGCGCT